GCTTAAACCCTGTCAAGGTCTGGGTCGTTTGAAAATTAAGCCACAATTAATGTTTTTTTCGGAAATGTATTCCCTGTAGAATTAGATAAAACCAGAATTTACCATGAGCTGAGGCATAGTGACTTATTAAATGTTGTTGTTTCCGCCGCTGTGTTTGTCTTCAGTGCATCGCATGTGCATGGTAACAGATCTATTTCTTTCCATAGCAAAAAAAATTATTCTCTATTTTTGGTTGCTTTTTATATCAGCGGCAGATTTTGATAAGCCTACAGTTTCATATAGTAATGACGAAGAAGTTTTGCGGCCCTAGAGCACGTGGCATATGCTCATAGAAAACATTCACCTTTTCCGTGAAGAATTTAAATTTGTTTGCTGAAACACTTTAACAAGTCAACTCCCTTCAGTGACGGACGACAGTTTAAGTTTTAAGAGAAAATAGAAAAAAATAAAGAACGCCAAGGATTCCAACCTCACATCAAAACAGTAATTTGCGAAAATAACTTTCGCTGCCGTGTCTGATCTCCAGGCAATCAAACCTCGTATATAATTTTATGTAAATGTGGAATGATTTCTCTTCTCTCAGTTAAAGCGAAAGAAGAAAGGGAGAGAGAGTGGTACTTACTGTATGATAATTCAAAGAGTCCTTGACGGCAGGTTTTACAAAACTTCAAGATGTAGATGTTCCTTGGTTGGTTACTTTTCGGTGTGACTGACTGGTTTCACATGTTTGATATTTCAATTTCCTTCAATCAACATCCGGAGGGACATGACCTACTGGGTCACGACGATCGACAATAGATAAGTGGTAGTCTTTGCGGTTGGAAGGCTTCCAATCGCAATGTCATCTATTGGTAGACATTACGGTGTTTAAGATATCTTCTTTTTAACTACAAAAACATTGCCTGTTCAAACTTTTATTCATCCTCTAGCCATCAGAAAAGGAAAAGAAAAAGGCGACGAAATCGCTTCAATGGTAACCTTTTCCTGCTTATAAAGTTCAATAAAAAATAAAAAACTTAAAGAAGTTGTTATGCTTTGTAAAGTTACTCCAACCAAACTCAAGCCCTTTAAAAATAAAGAGTCCTTCAATCGTTTCAGGTTCATCAGGCGATGCTGAAAAAATTAATTTACCGAAAATAATTTTGTCACACATGAAGTTCACTTCAGGTGATCAGCAAAACCTGTTGAGGATCCGATCGCGATAAGATAAACAAGGGAGTTGTTCTTCCTGCGCAAAGTGGTTTGGTGGCACGCAACACGCAGAATGTAAGTCTCTTAGGAAGCTTTTATTTATGGTTAAAAAAAGCAAACTTTTCTGGTCTTGGTTGAAACACTAACAAAAAATTATAACGTCAAAAGTATCATTTTCGTCTTCAGTTCAACAATGTATAAAGAGTCCTTGACGAAAATGTCTTAAGTTTTACAAAGACAAAAGATAGTCAATGCTGAAACCTGGATAAAAACTCTCGTGACCGGCGCTCACGAACAACGAACTCTATGTTTCACGCCCAGACAAACAACTTCTCCCTTGTCGCTGTCATGAAATATTTTCATTACTCCGGTGGCACGTGAGGCACGGGAAATCATGAAATTTCCACAACTTTGCTCTTATAAAAACTCAGTGTTTCCCAAACTTAAACCGTTGCACAATTTCTGAACACAGATGGTTTTAATGTTTTTCATTCACTTTCATCTTTGTTGGCAGAGCGAAACTTATTTTAGGGCTTAGACTTCCTACAAAGTAAATGATTTTCTTAATGACCTTACACCTCGATTGATATGTTCTGTCAATGAGTTTTGCTGCCAGAGGTTAGACGTAATTTCTTTTCTCCTTTCAAACAATGTCTCAATGGGGTTAACCGTTCACCGAAAAACGGCCAAAAACTCAGCCGTCAGGCGTAAAACCTGACAATCTTTTATCGTCAATCTTAAAAAAAAAAAAGATGACTGTAAAAACACACTTTCTTTGACAACTATAGTAAGAGATTAATCGTTAGCCGCAGAATGTAAGTCTCTTAGGAAGCTTCTGTCTCTGATCTACACCCTTCGGTTGTTGCATGATGTGTTGCAAAATGGTGTCATCATCATCAGCGTGAGCGCTGTTTATCGCAACTTGGCTTACGCCGTGATTGTACCCGAACCTGGATACGCCATGGAGATCCAATCTCCGGTGCCGTGGCCAAAAGACGGCGCAGTCAGCTTTGAAAGCAACTCCTTGAGCTACAGTAGAGAAGGGTCCATGGGAATTAGTAGAAATCTCCTTTGCTGCGTACCCTGGGGAGAGGTTTGGCATCGCAGGACGGCCAGGAGCTGGAAAGTCGTCTATTATAAATGCACCGTTTTAATTGGCTAAGATAATGATTGACGAATACTCACAACCTCACAAAAGGAGTAGGCCTTGCTTTTCAATTATCACCGAGGAGCCAATCTTCTCTATGGGTGCACTGTGCATGAACGTGGATCCATTCCTTAGCCATACCGAGAGGGAGATCTGGAAAGTCCTTGAGAAATGTCAATTGAAGTCCTAGGTCGAGAGCCTTCCCAACAATTGTACCAGGACCTCGCGGACTGCAGAGCTACCCTGGGTCCAAGTGAGCGCCAGCTCATCTCCTTTGCACGTGCGCTTCTTCAGAAAAACAAATTCATTGTAATAGACAAGGCGTCGTCCACCGTAGAGTACAGAACGGATCGCCTCATTCAGGAAGTTGTTCGAAACTGTCTCCTTGACAGCACTGTCATTACCATTCCTCATCGTCTGAGCACGATTATTGATTACGATTGTGTGATGATGCTTGACTGCGGAAAAATCATGGAGCTGGACAAACCGAAAGTGTTATTGAAGAAGGATGCAGACTACTTCGCGCATTTGTATGGAAATCAATGCCCATCGTAATCTCTTGTACGCAGACCTCCCGCGTCTGCCCACACAATTTGGACCTTGATACGAAATTTAACGAATTTATCTCATTCTACAAGAGAATGTATATATATATAGTTATAGAAGATAGCTAAGGGAAAACATGGTGGGTGCGAAGATTTCAATCTTCTTTGATAGCCTAATTTACTTAAATAGGAACAAATTCTGTTTTTGACAATTAAGATTACTCGCGTAGTCAGACACTATAATAACCATGATCTTTGAAGGTTGATTTTAGGCTAAAATGCCACTAGTTAAAAAATTATAACGTCAAAGGTACCTTGTTATTTTCTTCAATAACAAATCGATTCAAATATTGAACTTCATTCGATCTACACCAATACATTAAAATGCCAGTTTTGGTTACTATGGTAAAATAGGTTAAATATGAAATGGAGAGTAGAGTTTCGTAATTTCGTTATATGATAATAAGATCATGATCAAGCTAAGAACTGAATAAACTGTTGTCACAAGTGATTTTCCTCGTTAAACGTCCGTATTATTGGTTTCAATACAAGATTCGACCTGTAGTTTTTAACGTCTTTTTTTTCGAAATAAGTGTCATTTCTGCTTCCTGCCCTTACGGCCCGTCATTTCATTGGTCGCAATGTTGTATTGTTATCTGCGACATGCACTGCAATCGCGCCTTACGTTTTGTGTACATGTTGTTATTTCCGCTGTGCTCCCGTTGCGGTGCTCGCTATGAACCCTTTAACTCGCAGAAGTGATTAACATGTAACTTCTCCCTGTGATATCTATACATTATTCAGCAAAAATGTTACGAGAATACTCAAACATGTTAAGTAGAAGTTGTTATTTTGATCTAACTCCAAATTCTCTTAAATAATTTACAAGGAAATGTGTAACAGCTGGAGGGGAGAATTAACAATCAAATCTTGGGTGTTAAAGGGTTATTAGATTGTGTTGGATGCCAAGAACCGATTATAACCTGATTTTTGAGAAGTCAAAGCCATCTGCGCAGGTCCTCTACTACACCACCATCTAAGTAAGTATTCAGCGCCGCTCGCCGACATGACGATAGCAAGAGAATGAATTGGAAAGATATTGGTGACAGTCCATATAGGCAACATACTTTATTGAACGGAAGCATTTTGCAATGAGATAAAACTCTTTTTCATATCTATTTGATAGCTCAACCTTAATTCTAAACAATTACATTAAAGCAATGAAACTAAATGACAGCTGAACACATATTTTAAGATAATAAAAAGCAGAAGAAATCAATATGTTAGGTTGATGTTTCGTTAAGGTGGCATGGAAGGATTTTTAATCAGGAAAAATAATTGAAAGGAAATCTTCTTAAAATTAGCAATTAATTATCTTAAGAAGTATTCTCCTTTTATGATGAAATTTACTGAAAAACCAACCCTTGGAAAAAAAGCCTGAATTATGAGTAGATTCTTAAAGTGCTTTCATCACAGCATATGAGCATAACCAGTCTTAAAACTAAACGATGAACAGGAAACAATAGGATCGCGCCGAAGGTGACAAAATTAAGTTATAGGACTATAATCATAGATAATAAGTCTCTTCTAAAGTTTTCAGAAATTTTCCCAAAGCCGATTACGGATCCGCTTGTCTGTATTAAATCTAATTAGAAGTAGTAAAAGTAGCTCTTCGAGATAATTATATTAGGTTTGCGATAACCCTAAACGTGCTTTCACCATAGCATAATAACCGCTCTTGTAACTAAACAATGAAAAGGAAACACTAAATTTCCTTTTTTCATCGAAAATTACCGCTGGAGGTGACGACAATAATTCATTAGGGACTGGTCCTTATTTAGCGGCCATGGAGGTGGAGGAATTTAGTTGACTCACGATAAGTTCACCTGATCTGCCCCTGAGGCTCTGTGATATTCTCGTGATCCCCTATCCTCATTGGCAGTTGATTAGCAGTCAATTTTCTGTAGTCCGCTATTTGTACTCTGTTGGCGACGACTGAGCTCCCCCCCTCCCTTCCCCCTTGAAAACCACGTGATCCTCCCAAAATTCTCCACCCCACCCCAGGCGAAAAATAACAACTGATCCCTTGAGAAAAGGGAGTGATTATACTTTTGTTTCAGCCGGAAGTTGCGTTTCCGGCTTTGCTACTGTGAGATTCTCACTTTCTTGCACTGGATGCGGCAGTTGATCAGACTTTTCGTCCTTGACTGGCCTTATACTCCCCTGTACATCAAGCCTTTCCACATCATTATCGCCAGTCTTTTTACATGCTTGCCTTGTACGTCTTTTTTTCACGATAAGGATAAGCGCCACCAGCACCAAGATCACTAAAGGAACTCCAATTGCAACGCCAATCATCTTACCATATAGTGGAGAAGCATCGTCCGTGGAAGCTGAATCCTTTTTAGAGTGCTCTGTGACTGGAGTGGACGCTTGCACTTTTGTTAAGGTTGCCAATGATG